CCCCACGAGCACAGCACGCACACACAGACCCTGCACAGGCGGGCCCCGCCCCACGAGCACAGCACACACACAGGCCCTGCACAGGCGGGCCCCGCCCCACGAGCACAGCACGCACACACAGACCCTGCACAGGCGGGCTCCGCCCCACGAGCACAGCACGCACACACAGGTGGGCCCCTTGCACACACAGACCCTGAGCAGGTGCACCCCCTCACACACAGCCCCTGAGCAGGTGCACTCCCCGATGCATGCCCCGAACAGGTGGGCCCCTGGCCCTCACTGGCCCCCTCCCCCAGGCAGGTCCTCGTGATCCTGTCCCAGTTGGAAGGTAATGCCGGCTTCTCCATCACACACCGCCTGGCACATCGGAAGGCTGCCCAGGCCTTCCTCAGCGACTGGACGGCCACCAAGGGCACCCACAGCCCCCCACTCACGCCCGAGGTCGCTGGCCTGCACGGGCCTCGACCGCTCTGACCCCTTGGTCTGCCGCTTGGGCTGGCTGTGCCCGCCTGCACGCACTTTAGGAGGGAGACCCAGGAATAGGATGCTGGGACGGATCTCAGGACCCCTGGGGAGCCCGGGGGGGCCCCTCCCCACCCCCACCCGCCTTCGCCCTGGGGCCAGTCGGCCTGGCCAGGGCTTCCTGGCTGTAAAGCAAATACCTCGAGCCAGCCACCAGCCATGGACCACGCGTCCCCTCCGCCCTTGGCCTCGGGGATACAGGTTCAGAGGCCAGCTGCTCTCCCCGTGGGGCGGGGTCTTGTGTGGGAGAGATGGCTGACCTCTCAGCCCGCAGGACCACGGCCCCCGTCGGGTCAGAAGCCCATCTGGGGCTCCACTGGTGTCCAGCAGTGGGGTGGGTGTGGTCCCACCCAGGAGGCTGTTGCTGGGCGACTGTGGGGACACTGTTCTGCTGCCCCCCCGGCGACACTATGCAATTCCTGGCCCCCAGGACCGAAGCCATGACGGGGCAGCAGTGCTGGGGGGCCCTGCGTGTGGTGAGGTGGCCCCGTGGCAGACAGGGTCGCAGTGGGGCTAGCCCCACCCAGGCACACAGGCGGGACCCCTCCCGCCGCCACCCACTTGGGACACCCAGGGAGCTCGGCTGCCGGGCCGCCACCCTCAGGGCCCCTCAGTGCCCCGCGGCCTGGTGGGAACAGCGAGGCGCCCCCTCCCCTCGCGCCTCCTTTTTATTTCCCCCTTTTCTCTGAGCTGTGACTATTTTTAACCCTGTAAATGCCGCGTTCTGACACAGAGGCTATTTTATCAACTGTCAGCTCCGTCCTCGAGGTCCCAGTCCCCGTGGGCGGGGTCCAGACTCAGGCTCCGATGGACCAAATAAAGCATCTTTGGTTTGTAGCACTGGTTTCACCCGCGGTCTTGCTCCCTCCGGGGGCTGTGCGGGGGGCGCACAGGCTGGGGCCTCGCAACGGGACTAGGGGAAGCGTGGCCCAGTCCCAGCCAGGCCGGTGGACAGGAGGGAGTGCCCACGGGGGGTTCTTGTGTTCCATCAGGCCTAGCATAGAGTTGGGGGGGGGGCACTGGGCAGGGTTTGGGGCCAGGACTGGGTGCTGGGCAGAGGATGTCCCAGGTGCTGGCTTTTCCAGTGTAGGAGTCCATTAGGGGGTGGGAAGGAAGAAAGTACCCACCCTTCACCCCATCCCCATGTTGTAGATGTCCCCCAGACCTGGGCCCTGCAGTCTGGGTCCGAGCACGGCCCGTCGGGCTGGGGCGCTTGGTGTAAGAGGCCTGTCACGGGGCAGTGATCGAATGTGAAGGCAATTAAAGCCACCAGCAGTGTTCGCTCCGGGCGGGCCTCAGGCAGCGTGGGAACTGCCACAACGTATCTCGCAGGGTTCAGCACCCGCTGCCTGCCCTCGCTGCTCGGCCCTGTGCCCACCCTCCAGGACCCCAGCCTGGCCCCACAGCGTCCAGGAAGGGGACCCAGGAGTGAGGTGTGAGGAGGGCATTGGGGTTCAGGGCCGAAAGGGGTCCCCTGGGGACCTGAACGTGCAGGGCAGGACGGAGGAGTCAGTGGGGTCTCTGTGGTGGGCCTGAGGGGTTACACTCCCCCACTGCGCAGCCTGGATGTAGACAAGTGGCCCAAGCAGGGGCTGGACCAGCTGCTGGTGTCCGCCCCTCCCACGTCTGCCTCTCCTCCCTTCAGGATGTCCCCTTCCGCCTCGCGGCGGTCCCCTCCACTCGCTGCCCTGGGCTGTCCAGAGCGCAGTGCTCGCCCCTCCTGGCCTCACACTGCCCGCTCTGCCTGCACAGTGGCGGCTGGCCTTACGGCCTGGCGGGCGGCGGCGGTGGTGGCACTCTCCCTGTGAGCGACCCTGTCAGAACCACTTAGCATACACATTAGCCACAACTGCGCAGCCTGCCCCCCGCACAGCTCTGGGCGCTCGGCTGCCCGTCCACCCTTTGTGGGCCTCTGGTGCCCGCCCACGGCCTCCTCACAGGGTCCCCAACCAGGATGGCCACCATGGGGGGCGCTGGGCAGGACGCTGGGGTCAAAAGCCTGAGCCCCTCACGGCACCAGCCCTGAAGTGGCAGGTCCCGTTGGTTGGGGCACAGAAGTGTTGGGGTCCGGGCTGGGAAGAGGACTCTGCACCCCATGCCCCCGCCCGCCACTGCCTGCCACTCAGGCGGGGAAAATCGTCTATGACAGGCCAAGAAGGCGGCCCTGGGGCCGCAGGACGCAGCACGGCGGCTCCCCTTCCTGAGCATATGGCGGCTGTCGGCCCCAGGCGGGCAGGCAGGCAGGCGGCCAGAGCCTCTCGCCCCACCTGCCTGCCTGGCCAGCACCGTTGTGACTCAAGAGACCCTGCCCCAGCTGGAATGCCTCCCTAGATGGGGAGCTCACTCCCGCTCAGCCTCTCCCGCCAGTTTTTAGGGCAGCCCCTCCCACCTTGAGTGGGGCCCGACTCATGGGGGTGGGGGCTGGGAGGTAGGGAGGAGGCAGCACTGCTGCTGGGGGAGGGGGCGTGCACACTCAGGGTGGGGCTGCTTCTCTCAGGAGGACCAGGCCTGGGTAGGGACTCCAGTCCTGGGATTCTTCCCAGGGGGACCAGCAGGGCAGAGGAGGGCAGGCTTCCTGGAGGTGGTGTCAGGACCTGCCACTTCCGTGTTCTGGGAATGGAGGCTGAGGGTCGGTGCTGGGGGTGGGATGCTGTGACCCTGGAGGTGGGATTTGTGGCACAGTGCCTGAGGCATCTGACTGCTAACCAGAAGGTTGGCAGTTCAAACCCACCAGCCACTCCACAGAAGGAACACAGGCAATCTACTTCCGTAAAGATTTACTGCCTTGGAAACCCAAAGGGAGACGCTATGGGTCAGGATCGACTTGATGGCAGTGAGTTTGGTTTTGGTTTCTTTTGGTGCTATTGGGACCCTCCCTCCATGTCAGCCCTCGGCCTACAGCCCTCCTGGCCACAGTTCCTGGTACCAGGAGCCTGCACAGCCAGGCTGGGTTCTGGGGCACCCTCAGGGCTGGCGCTCCCTGGAGGTTCCTAAGGCCTCCTGCGGTGGGTGAGGAGAGACGCACCCAGGAGGCCCAGTGTTCTGGGCCTGAGGGTCTCTGTGTACCCAGAGGGAGAGACACATCTGTGGACGTGGGGATGTAAGCCAAGCAAGGTCACCACCCACTCAGCTGACACCAGCTTCACTATGCCCAGCCAGGGCTGGTGCCCAGAGTTGCCAGCAGCCCAGCCCTTGCACTGCCCTGGTTCAGACCCTGGGGGGATGAGACAGAACCTGCCCCAGGTGCCGAAGACCCTGGCTGGCCCCCCAAGTGCACCGCCCCCTTCCTTCTCCAGGCCCTGCTTCTCATATCCTCCCCTGCCCCCCACACCACTGCCTCCCTCCCCTGCACCCATTCCCACTTCCACCCTTGCCTGCTCAGTCCCAGCCTTCATGAGGGTAACAGTTGGGCGTCAGTAGGCAGAGATTAATGGCTGAGACAAGGCCCTGAGGCTGGGGGTGCACGGTGGGGCCTTGGGGTCCTAATGCCCAGATGCCAGCTGCAGGGAGAAAACAAGCAGGCAGCTGCCTAAGGGCCCCAATGAGTGGAAGCACCCAGAGACCCTGACTCCTTCCAGCACCCTGCCAAGGCCAACACAAGACCATGTCCCAAACCCACTAGGGTGCCAGCCACCACTTGGGCCAGGCACACCCCAACATGCAGGAGTGGGGGCCAACCAAGGGTCATGACCCACCCTGGGAACTGGCTGTAGGCAGATGCCTGCCCTGAGGCCCCATTCTGGCAGGAAAGTGGGACGGGGCACAGTGCTTGCCGGCTGTGGGAGCAGGTGTGCTGACGACATGCTACAGGGGCTAGCACTGATGACTTAACCCAGACCAAATGGCCTGGCCCACACCCGGGACACTTCCCACTGTGGCCATTCTCAGCAACCCCAGGTGCAGGCTCAGGGCCCTTACCTGCCCTCCCCACCAGCCCCTCTTGGATGTCCAATAGTGTGTTCACCATGCCACCCCCTTGGGTGCCCTCCTGGACCTCATGACACAGGGTGGGGTGCCCTGGCTTCGCACTCTTTGGGGCTGCACAGTCACCTGGGCCAGCCTTGTCTCACACGACTAGTAGCTCCATGCCGCCTCCTTCAAGCCTGTCTCCCGTGCCAGCCAGACCTGTCTGTCCTACAGCCTCAGACAGTCAACCTTGGGCTCTCAGGGTGACCTGGGCCACTCCTGCCCTCTGGGTGGCTCCCGCAATAAGAAACTTCGTCCTCTTGGTCTCAGAAGGGTCTTAGGACAGAAGGAGGGAGCTGGCCTCCCTCCCCCACACTTTGCAGGGCTATTGGCGAGAAGGCCACTCCAGCTGTCCCCCAGCCTGGGGCCACCTGCATGGTCAGCTGGTCAGCTGGGCCACGCCAGGCATCAGAGAGGGAAAGACTGAGCACCGGGCTGCCATGGTGCTCCCTCCAACCCCAGACTGCAGACTTCTCCCAGGAGGGGAGGGGCAGCCACCCAGCAGGGTCAGGAGGGACACTTGGCCTTCATTCTGGTATCACGAAACTTACACTGCCCACCAGACCTCATGGCCCTGGTCTTTTCAGACTCCCAGGCATGGTGTCCAACACCCCAGGAAGACCCTGCCCACAGCTGACCATGGTCTGTGGCTGATCTGGGAGACTGCGTCCCAGCATAAAACCTTGGGGGGAGGGCGTCACCCCAACACACAGAAAATCTGAGGCCTGAGAGGTTGCTAGACTACATCTAATGCTCAAATCCAGGGACAACACCCAGAGCCTCCCACAGGGCCAGCCCTCCCCTCCAGGGCACCCCTGCCCCCTGATGTGAGCTAGAGTCACCCTGGAAGCCCACAGCAGAGTGAGCTGTCCGCATCATGCCTGCCCTGCACCACACCTCTGCTGGATTCCACCATCACACACCTCCTTCCCGGAGCGGACACTGATGCTCGGGGTGCCTCAGAGGCCAGCCCTCCCTTGGTCACCACCCCAGAATGGAGCTGGCTGACTAGAAAATTTCAGTTAGGACCCAGGCCCGGGCTGGGTGGGGAACGCCAGGCAGGTTGGGAGCACCCTGGTGCCCGGGGACCCTGGGACAGGACTCTGAAGCAGCTCTGGCCACAAGGACACCAGGGGGCAGGGATCCACAGTATGTCCAGGGACGTCCAGGCCCTTCCCGGGTCTCACCTCACCCCTCAAGGTCTTCCCAGGAGAGTTGGGAGGGGCGGTCACAGCAGGTTCAGGGGAGTGGGGACCGAGGCTAGGGGTGACACCTCCTCAAGAGGTGAGCTTGTGGTACCATCTAAGCCGGTGGCCATGATGGGGCCTGGGGCTGTGGGGTGAAGCAATTCCTTCAGCCCCTCTCCAGAAGAGCCAAGAGCTGGGAGGGCAGGCTCCCTGGTGTGCTTTGGAAAGGAGCCTGCTAGGCTTCCTGGGCGTCTGGGTCCGTTCTGTCCCCTCCCTGGCTGGCCCTGGCCCCTGCGGCCCCTCCCCTGTCCCGGGCGGACGGGCGGCTGTCAGGGGCTGGTGACCTGACGGATGCCGGCCGCCTGTCCCTCTCCCCGTGCCCGCTGTTGACACCCCATCACCGCGCGGGCACCCGGGAGACCCGCGCCTCTGCGCACCCCCGCGGCAGCCTGCAGGCGACGGGGGCGGCGCTCGCGCCCTGCTCGGCCACACACCTGCCGCCCCGGACTCGCGCGCTCGGCCAGGACCTGTCTG